CTATTCAGCTTTACCTTAAGAGCACAAACAAATTTTTAAAAAGTTGGGACACTGTAAAAAGTAAATAGACCCAAATCAAATTATCGCCAAGTCATTTAAATCCTAAATTTAATTTTTTAAGGGTCATAACTTTTGAAAAAACATACTCATAATGAAATTAAATGTAAGCCGACATTTGTGTTGTGCATTCATGATGCATATTTAAAAATATAAAATGTTATTTATATTGCATATTAAAGATGGTCATCCATTTGTTACTGTGGTCCTGTTTCTAAGTTTTACAGGGGAGATGACACAAACACAGGAGACTGTTCCAAAACAGGTCATGCACAGAAAGTCAATGGAATATGTAATACACATGAAGAATTACTTAAAAACACAATAAAGAACACAAATTGAACATTTGTTACAAATTAGTTTCTGGAGTCTGGTTTTGATGCCTCAAAATAAGAAATTTCTCCATCTCAGCCTATGAAACAAAAGAGGGATGGGTCTGACTGTGCAACTGCACGCTTGTTGGCTAACAACTTGTCATTCATAAGTCTTCCTTGTTTGAACATAGAATTACCAAGATTATTAGTTAATTTTTATTTAATATGAAATTAAAAGACTGTAAACTCAGCTGGAAGGTTTTACAGGGGTTGTCTGAAAGACATTTTTCAAAGACTTTGTCCCAACTCCTGGTGGCAATAAAAAGGAATGCAGGTTTGAGGTACTCCCATTATGGTTTTATTTTTTGGACCCAGAAGCTACATTCATCTCTTACAGCAGCGATCCCCAACCCCCGGGCAAAAGACCACTACCGGTCCATGAGAGTTGAGGCTCGGGTGTGAAATTTATGGTTTTCAGGGGTTTTATCGTTAACTTGGTTTCCCTGGGTCTTTTCCCGTGTTGTAGTTGTGTGCCTTATTTTGAAAAAAATATTTACGCGTTACCACAGTGACCAGAGATCATTAAGTGGCAGAGAGGAGGACGTTACTCTCAATGTTCTCAATGTTTGTTGGCGCATTTCAGGAGGGCACTGCTAATAAAGCTATACAATTACACAGTGAATTCGTGTTTATTATTATATTTACAAAATACCACAGTTTTTGTCTTGGTCGTAACATTTTATTTTGTTGTATTTATCTGTGACACCTTAAAGGCCGGTCCGTGAAAATATTGTCTGATATTAAACCGGTCTGTGGTGCAAAAAAGGTTGGGGACCGCTGCACTACAGTGTATAGAGTTGATCATATTGTCCTTCCATGCAAGAAGCATACCTTGTTTTTTCCTCCTCTCAATGATTATACTTGAAAGGAATTGTTTATTGAATTAATAATGAACTCAATAGAATCTGATTTAGTAAAGCACTATTGTCTCATGTCCTTCTTTTGTATACAGTCTATATGAACTCTAGAAATGGTTTGTATTAAATTTGTTTACATTTGAAATGAATGTAAAGCTTCTCATTCGTTTTTGAATCTGCATCGTTTCAATAAGGCATTCAGTCTACTTTGAATCTGCTCTGAAAGAAACGAGCTCTGAGTTGCTTCTGTTACTGGGTTACAGTTGTCAAACTTCATAATCGATTATATTTCACCACAGAAAGATGAAAAATTTCTGACCTTCCCCCATGTAAACTCAAATCTCTTCTCTATTGAAAAATGAAGCAGCCTAGTCAATTACTACATTGTACACTGTAAGCAATTCAAGGACTATGTATTCAATAACGCCCACAAGCTACGGCAGTTTTTACCTGACATTATACATTTCTTTGTGTCCCTAATGGAAGATTGATCTAACTGAAGCAGTGTTAACATGAATATCCTCAGTGCTCGAAATAAATGATTTTGTTTATTTTACTAACTCAGCAGTTGTCAGACCTTTTCTACCATGTTTGACTTCAGAAGTTAAAAAACATTCATACCCCATTAACATTAAAAATCATTTAACTTGAATATTATTGACATAAAAGGTAAACAAGATAGAATCAATACACTCTTTATTTTTCCCTTAAAAGAGTCAACTCTGTATTTTTACGTTTCTCATCGTGACCATCGCGACATTGTTTCCCTGACTGTGCATTAATCGATGCCACTGATAGAAACGCCTTTCATATTCATTGTGTATAGTGTTTTTACAGCGTCTGTGGACGGGGAGCAGTGATTACATCAAACCGTTAATTACTGCTCTTTCATGACACATACGCATATTATTTTGTTTCTTCATGGAAATTTTTATCATTTGGTGTGAAACATATCCTGATATGACACAATCAATTCGCACTGTATCATAATGAGGAAGGTGATTTTTGGCTTTTGTAGGTAGCACAGAACAAAATGAAATAGGAAAATGAGCACAACAATAATTCATGCAAGACGAAAAGTTAAGCTCTGTCAATCACAGAATATGCTGGCTCAGATTAAACTGCTTAAGCTGCTCTTGCCTGCCTTTTGTTGCTGCTTTGTCTAAAAGACACTTTGCTATCCACCTCCACCCCAGCTCCTCAATTTAATTTAGTGTCTGACTTATCAGTGTGATATTTGTTATCCTTAAATCCTGCTCTGTTTCCATAGTGGAGAGTATTCCACATGCTCTTCCCGCCTTGGGTTTTCCATTTATGTACATGGAAAGAAGAAGCATACTGTCACATATAATTAGGCTTTTTCAGTTTTAAACAAGACTATCTAAAGCGGGCTTGACTGAAATAGCATTTCTCAGTAGTTTGATTTTATTGATTATATCTGCTTCATGAAACCTTCACAGAAGCAGAGCAGAGGATGCTAAAGAAAGGACGGTAAGGTCAGTGAGTCAGATTCAAATACTCTTTAGAGTGTGGCCAAGTGGAGCCTCCAAGAGAGATCACCTCCAATGAAATCCACCATACCTTTGTCTTAAGCTTAACCACAGTAAAAAAATTAATATAAATAAAAATAGCTGGCTTTGGCTTTGGAGCTGGATTTTTTTATTCTATTGTCTTACGGGAAAAATATGTTTGGTCACAACTCACAAATAGCCTGTGGAATACATGTAAGCAAGGTGTTCACATGCAAGTAAAGTTACAAATAATTATGCCAATTTATAGCCAGCTAATTAGTAAAGTCAGGCTATAAATCAATTAATGTGTCATATCCCACCTCCGGTCTGATAAATGGACGACTGGCTTTCAGGGAATTAAAATCAATTCTGTAATTTTCTGATGATTGATGAAAAGCATCTGTCCATTCATACACGTCTGTCCTATACGTGATTATGTATGTTGTGGTGTATGCATTTATTGGTTTCACCTATTTACAGCTTAATATTAGAACCACACTCTTATGCCGGCTGAGTATAATGAAAATGCAATCATGAAGCAGTAAAGATTGCCTCTTGCCTTGTCTTGTTGAAATGCAGCCTGCATGTAATCAATGCAAATTGTGATATATGTTGCCCAATCTTATATTTACACAGCCAGTATTTGCTACCTCCACTGACCTGTGTGTCTGTATGTACAAAGAGAGAGAGAGAGAGAGAGAAAGGAAGGTCACCTATCTCTGCCCTCGTTGGACATTGATGACTTCTTGCTGATGCTATTTAACACTATAGGGAATACATAAATAAATGATTACCAGGCCAGACCTGGACACAAACACGGGTAGATTCAAGGACACAGAGTCACTTCTGACAAAATATGGTTAAAACAAAAAATCTCATGAAATAACAAAAAACATCAATTAATTTACTTATACATGCAAAGTGCAATCTGTTCAGTGAGCACAAGCGTTATTTTCAGAAAATCTGACACTGTAAATGTGACAGAGTGGTTTAGGTGTTGATGAGGCTACTGGAAGAGCTACATTTTGAATCCTTTTCTGTCTGTGCAACACAGTGGTGAAACATGTCAGCACACATGCAGTCCATCTGTTCTCGGTTTCTCTTTTGAGAGCACTTTTGTAATATTCGAGTCACTATTGGGTTTATTGATTGGCAGCTTTTCCACCATCCATCATCAAAGGGTGAGTCTCCTACGTCTGTACAGACTGTTTAAATTCCAATCCTCTCATCTTTGAATGAATGTCCTGTGCAGATTTAGCCAAGCAGTCCTGAGGATTCAGATTAAGATTGGCTGTGGTGTCATGTTTTTAATTAGTGTTTTCCACAGCAAAACACAGACTTTCATTGTTTTTTAAGTTATTTGCCTTATAGAATCAGTTGTAAGTCCTTGTGTCTGCTGGTTGGTTGTCCTTTGGTCTACATTGTAGGTTAGGGTGATTAAACTGATTGCAATTCTCCAGGTGCTACCAAGAGTAAACAAGCCTTAGGTGCTGTGTCACCATCACTTGACTTTTATTAATGGGCTACTCCATTTCTATTTGTATCACCCTTTCAACTAAAAACCTGGCCTCACAACACTTAACAAATTGGCTGATCCTGTGACCTGCCTTTGCTATTTCACTAACAATAAATGATAGCTGTTAACCAATACTAGTTAGGCTGTTCAATAATCTGATCAGGTAATAAATTAACTTTTTGCTGATGTAAACAGATAAGTAGGACAATAAGTGTGTAAGTATGCGTTAACCATGCTATATATTCAAAAGTATTTGGACGTGTCCATTTTTCCTGGCTTTTGCAGCACGTGTTTGATCTGTCACAACAACAAATGATTACAATAAACCATTTCGTTTATAGGCACCTTCGAAGACCTTCAAGGCACTTTACATGGAATTAAGTGTCAAAATCAAAGTCTGGATAAAAAAAAAAAAAATAGGAAAACACCAAAGACTTGAAAGTCTTTAAATAACAAATTGAACCAACAAACTAACAGAACAGACTATCTTAAAAAGATGTGTTTTAAGACTGGCTTTAGTTAAGGAGACAGTGGTTGGCATCCTTAGTTCCAGTTAAGGGGACTTGTCTTTCTGTCTTTCCAGAAGTTCTTGGTTGCCATCTAGTGACAGATGTATTCCATTACACCATTTCCATAGCTAAAGACACCATTTTTCTTCATTTTAAAAAAGGCATCAAAAGACCGATTTTTAGTGATGCACAAAGTTTTATTTTTGAACAAGACAAAGGTGCAGTTACACAATGGTGCTGATCTACGGTATCATGTAAAACCCTACATGTCTTTTCAATGGGTTGTAAAAATCATGCCAGCAAGTTGCTTCCTGATTTTGCTGAAAAATATGGACCGCGTATTAACAGTCTCTATTGAATTACACTTCCTTGGTTATAATGTAAATGTTAAAATGTTGGCATTGGTTAATTTTAACAAGAACTGTTCATGCTTCAAAGGTTAGCATTATTAATGGCTAAATGTGCAACCTGAAACATCTGCTCTCAGGCCAAAGAACCTCCCATAACAATTTAAGTACACTACCGTTATAAAATGTTAAAAATGAAATTGTTGATTTGTGGACCTCTAAAATTTCGGTGTGGAAATAAGGCAACAATTTTAAAGGATGAGTTCTTGATTGCGTTGCTTGCTTTTTATTGCATTTCCTCATTTAGTCTGAAACTGACGTAGCATCAGAGAATCTAAATGAAAGTTCAATGCACTGCAGGCTAAATACCGTCATGTCAGTAACAAGTGAGAAAGTTTCACGTGCACTCAATCCAGCTTCAACACTGCATGCCTTGTGATAACAATACAAAATGTACAAGCAAATGCCTTTCCTGTTCCCATACCTGTGCAGCATTAAACATCTGGTCTTGTATTTTATGTGTATAGAATGTTATGAACATATTTACCCAGAAAAGAAGAGCTGTTGAAATTAGCAAGCTCAGGCTGCATTTACATGATTGGAATTCAAGCAAAGCTCCTTAGAAAAATTAAAACATAGCTTGAAACCAGTCATGCATGCACTTTTTTTTTTTAAATTCACCACTCTCTCTTACTGTATAGAAGAAAAACACAGTTTGACTGTTTGTCACTGTTTGGTTTTTGCAGCCTACTTAACACAGTCCTTAAATCAATCATTTATCATGCCATGCAGGTGGTTCCTTAGTGTATCCTTACAGAAGTATTCAGTATTACTTTAAAGGGAGTTCTTCCATAGTATTACATAAATGCCAGGCTGAATTAATAATGAAGCATTTTTTCTTTTCTTTTTTTAAATCAGCAAGAATCTAACTGATCATCATAGCTAAGGTTTTGGCAACATAACACCTCAAGACATCCTAAGGTATAGAAGTTATCAAGACACTACGTTAACCACGTGATAAGATTTCAACAGTCTCGCGTTACAAACTCCAGCAAGCTTTTGAATGTTAAAGTGGTCAGTGTTTAACAGAAGACGTGCTGAAATGCTACTCATACGTCTCATGAGAGGAACCAAAATGGCAGTTCTCTTTATTGTTTCATACAAATCCACACTGTGTAAGTGTCGTCTCACTAACTAAGTACCATAACGAAAAGGCTTCTTGTCTAAGTTAAAGAAAGGTTTCCCAAACAGCTATTTAATCAAATTCTGAGTGGATACAAAAGTAACCGTAATCAAGCATTGCCAGTGAAGTGTTACATTACAAACTTAAACGTTAATAAAGGATAATCCCGTTGTTTTTGTGAGAACTCGTTTTTACTGTTATCGCAAAAAGACAACTGCTCATAACCGCCCACTTGACCCAATATAGTCTGTATCAGCCATCATCTACAGTAAGCCTGTGGCCATGAGGTCTAATGATACGGTCATGTTGGCAATCGGGGCATCAGCCTCTGTCACAATCAGCAGGTCTGGCAGCAGAGTAGTCCTTTCTACTTCAGCCCAGCCCACCCCCTCTCTCCATCTGAGACCTCTCCGGTGAAAGACAGAGGCGAGGGAGCACAGAGGTCAGAGTCTGTGTCCGACTCGCCCTCTGCTAGCAATGGTGTGACCCTGGCACAGAGTGAAGGTCCACCTCCGGCTTCGGTCCCTGCTCCGGCTCCCCCTCCTAAGCCTGTAAAGAACGAGGGCCCAAAAAAGTCCTCCTTGGCTTGGGAGATGCTGAAGCCGCTGAACGAGCGCTCCAGCTCCTCATGGTCAACCGACGGGATGGTGAGGGATGTGTCACTATCTACTGCGGTGACCTCTCGATGGCACCTGTGCCTCCTGTTGCGCCTCTTGCTGTGGGAGCCGCTCTCTCTGCCGCTGCCACCCTGACCCGAAGAGGATCTGTCATGAGCTGGAGCAGGTGGAGGTGGGAGGCGGAACAGGGTGGGCGAATGGTCGCCGCTGCCACCTACTGGCGAAGGGGTGTTGGACACGCTGCTGTTCCAGGCAGGCTGGCTGATGGGGTTTTGCAGCTGGTGCTGCCAGGAGGTACAGGGGCGGCTGTTGCTCCCAGAGGGAGTACCAACTGATCTCGCCACGGATCGACCGAGTAAAGGGTCTTTCTTTTCCAAGGACCCGTCAGAGCATGGGACATCAGCTGCTGAGCATGTCTTCACCTCCTGTACCTCCTCTTTTTCCTCCTTCTCTTCTTTGCTCTCCTCGGGGCTGTGGTAAGGCGGGGCTGGATACGGCTCCCTGGAGTTGAAAAAGGCCTCTGTTTCGGAACGGGGGATACCCATACGCTGCACATACACATTAACCAGGAAGTCGAGTTTCCTGTCCATGCAGACCACCTGCAGAAAGACAGAAAACGGTGTTCCATCAGAGGAATCAACATAACTTGATGTTGGCGGGAAAAGAAAAACTTTCCAGGCTGACCTTCACAGACCTGGGTGAAACATTCCTACCTGCTTTTCCACTTTGACCAGACGTCCCATCATACTCTGGTCCTCCACAGCATCTCCTTCACCTTTGGGACCTTTACCAACTATCTGGTCAACTCTAACATTTAGAGAAAAAAGTGTCATATATTAGATTATAATATGATTATACAAGTGTATATTTATATGTATAGTAGATATGCTCTGTTTTGCCACAGGGTCTGACCCCAATATTTTTAACTCAAGAAGTTTATGCCAAAATGTAGATTAGTCTTGCATTGAAAAGTAATGAAATTATTTAAGGTGATGATTGTTGTCAAGCTGTAAATAAATATGTTTGAATGAATAAATGATGGCCTTACAGAAGGTGAACGTTTCCTGAGACACTACTGAGTTCAGGTGGATTGTGTGGACGCATGCATAATGTGAGTAAGACGATCTTTTTTTCCCTTTTCTTTTTTTTCTTTTAACAAAACAGAGTCTAAACTGAAGGGACATTTTGTCTGCGGCCAAAATGCATCACTTGTCATGCTTCGGTGGTGCTTCATGCTTCATTTCCATTGCATCCTACTGGGGGAGCTCTCCCTCTGTCTTTCTGCTAAGAGAGCAAGCATTTAGCACTTCAAACCCCTCTTGAGCGAGGCCATGTGAAACGACTCGTTAAGATTCAGTGAGCAAACGGCAAAATGTCTTTTTTAGCCTTTCCTTGACAGCAGCTGATATCATTTGTCACCAGCGCTAACAGAACAACATCCTTAAAATGTTCTACGTAAAGCAGTCTGTTAAGCCATTTCACTTATTAACTATTGCACCTGCACCCCTGCTTTCATGTATCACAATCCCGCTAGCTCAATGAGACATGTCAATGGCTTGAACTCAAAAGGGGTTCCATCAATCGAACCAGTAAGGTAGCATGTAACTGCTACTATGGCATAAGGAGGATAATGCTGATAAAATGGTCATTCTAAAGGTGCAGTCTATTAACCTAACCTAGGAACTTCAGTGGACTTCTTATGGCGAGGTGTTGTTGGGGGAGGCGGCCCCACAATCATATCTACCCTGGCAAGGCACACAGAGACGATATGAGTGCAATGCAGAATGAAGCAACGTGGGAATCACATCAGGTATGGAGAACACGTCTGCAATATATTCCACACACGAGACATACGGTGAGTCTGGCTTGTTTCATGGATGGAAAGTGTGTGTGATTCACTGATGGAATATATTTCTTGTACATGTTAGACCTTCAGGTGATCAAGGTGTGAGGAGCTCGCTTGTAGGAGGGAAAACTGACATAGAAAACAATGTGAATTAGACATCATTGTTACATCCAAAATCAATCTGTGGCACGTTCAGAGCTGAAGGAGTGACCGCTAATAGGACATAAAGCTACCGATATATGTAACAGATCTGAATACAACACATGTATGTGGATAAATGAAACAGGCAAATCAATGGCTTGTGTGTCACAACATGTGTGTATCCAGTGACCACTAAAAGCACTTTCTTAGTAGATGAAAGCTCCACTGTTATATTAAGCTAACTAAACTAACTACTGACACATATTTCTTAAAGAAATGACTAATTCAAGAGTAAAGGACTTCTTGCCTGGTCTGCAGGCTCTTAATGCGCGACAGCATGTCCAAGTGACCAGCGGAGTATTGCTCAATCACGTCCATGACATCGTAGGGTCGCAAGCTCTCTTTGAACCTCCTCTTTGACACCAGGAAGCTCATGATGCTGGGAAGGGAGAGGGAGCGAGACATCGTTGTTAAACGTGTCACGTGACAGGCAAACAAATGACCAGATCACAGCAGACATTTCAGAATAACTCCCAAGAATTCTCCTGCTCAAAACAAACAAAAAATGCAATGCGGAGTAAAATGCAAATGAAATATAACAAATCAAAGGTTTATTTATTTAAATGATTAATGCTTTAGGAAAATATGATTGGTACAAACTGAATGCACACCAAATAAAGTCATTTGATCACATTGATCAGATAACATTTTACACTGTGTAAAATGTAACAGAATTATATGGAAAATTTACATGTAACCAACTTAAAACCAACATTTTGGGCATAAATGTTTGGTAGCTGATGGTTGCCATCCATTTTACATTAAATATATATGTTGTCTCTCAAATATCCACAAATGTGTCCTTTGGCAGCTGTAATGCATGAGGTGAGACAGGTCTTTCATTCCCAACTTGTGAAAAGGGGCCTTTTGGTTTTTTACAAAATGTCATTTTTGCAATATGTAGCATAAAGTTGTGAAGAGCTCTATTTTAAGCCACTTCTTTTAAACATAACCAAGCAGTTTATGATGACTAATCCTAAACCAATGGTTTTTGCTGTCTTCTGAATCACCACCACCTCCACATCCTACTAATGAGACCAGTTATTTCTGAGCATCTAATATCACTGAGGCTGATGCACCGAGGCACCAGCGTCAAACGACACATCATGCACATCTCTGGACATCAGCAGCAGCCGACACCCTGGCATGGCAACCAGTGTTGGTCAAGTTCCTTGAAAATAGTAATTAGTTACTAATTACTGATTACCTCTCCAAGAAAGTAATCCCATTACTTTACTGATGACTTATTTTCAAAAGTAATTAGTTACTTTATTACTTAGTTACTTTTTTAAAACATGATACACAACCTGAATACATAATAAAGCAATAGACCTTTCAGCCCAATTCTATTTTTTTTTCTGCATAATCCATTACATAAAATGGAATCAAATGAAAAAGTCTCTTTTTAAAACTTGTCAGAATCTTTTAACTTAACCACATTCTAGCTAATAGTCCATCATTGTACATTATTTATTATTATTACTCGTAATACGCCTACTTCTTTAAACACTGAAATAGCTACACAGATGACCACAGATATTATTTTTACACTACATGAAATAATCAATCACAGAACCATAAAAACCTCTTATTCAGAGAGTCCTTACCAGATTGCTCTGATTGCAACTTTGAAGCCTTGTGGTAACTCTTGAGTGAAGAATTCACAGTGGCAGCTCTTATCATCACCAACTTCCTCTCCCGGAAGGCTCGCCTCTAGAAAGCAAATGCAAGGACACTCTTTTAAAAAAATATTACATCTGCTTCCGCATGACAAACGTCACCAGCAGAAGCAGAGCAGAGCTGTCGCTTTCAGCGCCAAAGGTGCAAGTGTCCGTGTTACAGTTGGTCTCAAGCCAGTTAGCCAGTTTGGGAGTGTGTGAGCAAGCTTCGTGGGACGACAGGTAAAAAGATTCGGTGCAGAATTGAAGGATAGTGCTGAGGTGATAAAGCTTTACTGTAACCTTCAAAGACAGGTACTCTCTTCCCACCACCAATTACAGATTAGCACTGGAAGGCTGGTCTACAGAATTTAAAGCATATTGCATGGAGTTGTCAAGGCCTAATTAGTGGAAATCAGAAATTTTCTGAGAATCTGGTAGGGAAAGTGAGGTCTCCTCATGCAAGCTAAAGCAGGGTTTGGGGGCATGTCTCTGGGTCAGTTTTGGATAATCTCGGCACCACTTGACTTGAACTCGTTTAGCTTAGCCTACTGCTACCATAAATACAAATGTATTACATGAGGTGCTCTAACAATCATAACAAGTAAATATGGAATAACTAGTTCCATGGGAGACTCTGCTAGACTCATGCTCTCAGTCATCACAGTGAGAAAAACAGCATAACAAAGGGTTCATGTCAAGTGAACATATCTCAGCAGATATCAGCATGCAGGTTTCTCAGACTGGGTGAAGCTGATTAGTCTTTGGTTTGTCAACCAACAAAATATCCCAATGCCTTACTTATTAAACCTTCAATTGCTGCAAAAAGAGAGAGAGGAGACACATGGGAAAAGATTTGTTATGGATTCTAGCAGGATGAAAATGGCAGACAAATCGATTCCAAACATGGAAAACTGTGGAGTCTATTGAATGGTTTCTGGATCACATTTGAACGGGCTGGTCTCTCTTCTCTTAGATTTAAGCTTACCAACTATATATGTTTCAAAGCTTTATATAACATGTATGGTAAACTATACAGCTAGACATTATAGACTATGTTACAGTCTTTACTGAAGACATGTCATGATGACTTGTCTAACCTGGAGAACTCTTCAGTCCAAAGTCTTCGTCCTGCATTTCAATCAGCACTTAAACATGCCATGAAGTGAAAGGAGAAAGACAGCTAATGAGAATTGGTTCACATTGCTTAACAGAAAGCAAAGAAATGGAGAGAGAAGAGAAATATTCTAATGATAGTGACACAGTGGCGTTGATGACACATGGATGCAGTGGGATTGTCTAGCACTAAATAATGACACGACATCCAAAGTGACGGTCTCCTGAATGTGTTCTTAAAAATCTGGCATTGATTTGTCATAGAAGTGGCAAATTTTTGTATACATGAAGGGAACATACATGTCTGCATGATAACTCAGCTACAGTCTCCACATTGATTGCAACTCAAAGAGGTTTTGACAGTAACTTCTAAACTCACACAGCTGGTGAGCTGCTGACCTGGCACTGCTCTCCTACATGTTCACTGGCAGCAACTGAATGTTTGTCAGATAAACTGTTGATCACAAACAAGTTTTGCCAAAGTATTCTGTGGCTAAAAGTTTACTCATCATGGGCATGAATGTCATGGTAAGTTTGGGCTTTTATTGATTTCGATAAATTGTTCTTTCTCTAAGGTCAAGTGATTGTATAGCATATAACGGTATACCTGGTAGCTATCACCTAGCTTATGACATAATTGTGTCTGGATATTTAAACTTGTTTGTTTCCTGGTATGGACCTTATGGCTTTTAAGTAGAATTCCCAAATTTTCAATAAGCCTGAGTTTGGGGCTTTTGGAAGTATATTCAAAAAGCTTAATATCTTAATGTAATGTTAATACAGCTGAAAATTTTAGAGGCAGTCCTCGTTTATTCATTTTATTTATCCTTTAAAGTACCAGTACTGCTGGCAGCAAAACAGCTACAGAGCATGATGCTACCGCCACCATGCTTGACAGCTCATACAGGGTTGTTAGGTTTGAACACCTCACCTTTAATTCCTCGAAACATCTCTTGTCACTGGGGCCAAATAGCTCAACCTTTGTCTTGTCTGACAATAAAACCTTCCTCCAGAAGGCATTTAGCTTGTCCACGTGGGCAGCTGCATATTTCAGTTGAGCTTGATGGGCTTGATTTTGGAACAGGAGCTTCTTCTTGGTTGGTACCCCCTCAGTCCACAGTGATGTAAAACTTGCTTCACTGTGTACCTTACAGCAGTTTCCAGTTAAAGTCTGGTTTGAGCCTTTGTGGTTCCTGGGCTGTTCAGGAACATGCTAACTAATTTCCTCTTGTCTTATCTGAGGGTGACGGTCTGGGTCTTCCTCTGGACCTTAGAAAACTGGCGACACGTCTGAATAACTTGTATGTTTAAACCGATTGTCCTGGAATCTGCAGGTGTTTAGAAATGGACTGTTAAACCTCAGGAATGGACAAATCCCCAACGATCAACTCTACTAAAAATTTTTGTGCTATGCTCAAAAGCCAGGTCTCTGCTTGGAAACCAACATGTTTAAATAAACTCTACCAGTTCTGCCAGAAGCTTGTTGATGGCAACCAAAAGCATCTGGTCAAGGTGCAACTTCCCAAAACATTTAGCCAAATATTAGTTGAGGTGTATGTATACTTTTGACCCTGTGTGGATCTTATGCAGCCAATTCTTTTAAGAAAAAGTTATTATTGGTGTATCCTGTACAATTCTGGACCTCAGAAACAGAACAGTTGAGAAAAAACATTAAAAACACACACTTACCATTTATGCCCATGATGAATGTATGTATACTTCTGGCAATGACTGTATATTGAGCTAGTGTTACTAGTAGTGTTATAGTTACATAAGATTTAGTTAGTTTTGTTTTCAGTTTTCTTTAATATAAATAATTTTGACTCCTAAAGTTTGGTCTCTGAGCAAATAGCCAAGGTCATACTGGCTCAAATGAATTCCTGGAAATTTTGGGAAGTGCACTTAACTTGAATTCTTCTGGAACGTTAGATATCACGTTTGTGTATGCAAGCTAAATGTGAAGCCGGAGCACAGAGATGAGACACAGGAGGAAGCAGCAACCCGCTCCCCTCTGCTTCCAGGCTCCATACAAAAGCTAGGGCCTCCATGTCCTGAATGTAGTTTCATATTCACAACACCCACATCTCCTTTAATAAGTGTCTGCCATTTTCTACAGTTTCATGATGGTGTGAATACAGTTTCTGAGGTTTCCCACCTACAACAATATAATTCTCCAAGTCTCTACACTGTATGGCTGTGTATTCAGTTATACTACACAACACTACTACACTCATTCTGGTCAGATGATGATCAGTTCCCTCACCCTCTGAGTTTTTGCGCGAGGCGCTGCCCTGAGCTTTGAAGGCATTTTTCGCCCCTCGGTTCTTGTCGGTGAAGCTCCAGCTCTTGGTGACCTTGCTGGGGCTTGCTTCAGCACCATCATCTGCTCCACCTGGAGACTGGGCCTTCCCCTTGGACACAGGAGCCTTAGAAGGACTGGGAAACACTTTGTCCTTCAGACTCGACTTCCGACTAAAGAAGGAAGTAACAATACAGTAAATTAAGCCTGTTTAACTCTGCATTTATCAGCATCATTTTAATGAAAGACTACCTGTAGCTAAATGTCTGTATTCTTCTGTGTTTAAGCCCTAGCTTGTGAATTTGTAGAATTCATCTGCAATGTGATAATAAATCTTACCTCAGCAGATATGCAAAATGGGCAATGTCCTACAGCAGAAGGAGCCATGTCCACAAACGAACATAGTAGAGCATTCGGTGGTTCAGGCAAGCAGCAGGAAGCTACAAGCAGGCATGCATGGGAAGCAAAGTGACACTGTGCGTCTCAAAAGGAAGAGCTGTGGTCTGGCTCTATGCAAAAAAAGTGAACACAAATCATGCAACAAAAAAATAAAATCATCGTCGTATGGCACATGGTAACCATTAGGTAATCAGCAATATGCACCTTGCCTGCTGAACGGGGCTGAGTGGGCAAAAAAGACAGCCAGCAAATCAACTGCAAGACGTTACTAAACAGAAACCATAAAAGAAGGATGTAAATCTGCGCCTTTTCTGGGGAAAGGGTAAAAGTTAGAAATAGCTTATTGTTGCTTTTACGTGTGAATCTCCTCATGTAGACATCAGAAACAGAGCTTCACTACGCTACAAATAGTAACAAGTCAGATTGTGTACTTTCCGTAGAGCTACATGTCCTTATTCTGTGACTCCTCTACCTGTACTTGCACTTGAAGAAGAAAAGAACATTGGTGGGAATAGAAGGAGACACACAGACTTGCAGTGCAGTTGTTAGTATCTGTTCAGCAACTATACCTAATAGCTCTCGGACAGCACCCGCAAAGTCTGTCTTTGTGTGCATTTTCATTACTGGAGTGGTGGGCAGTGGGGGAGACACAAAAAAGATCAAATAGAAGTGGGTAGAGTCACAAAAACAGCAGTGTGTGCCAAGATGCCAGTAATGCTTTACTGTGACTGTAATTTATTGCTCATTTAAAGAATAAATTTTTTGGGTTTTATTCATTTTGCCATTTAGATGATTGTCTGATTTTACACGTGAGTCTAAAATATGCAATTGGATTATAAGGAGGTTTGTCATTCAGCCACGATAAAGTGTTACCACCTTGTCAATAGTTACACTTGTTTTCTGTGTTAAAAAACAGAGTGATAGAAAAATCAAGCAAAAGTGTTCAAAATCACTTTTTCCCAAGGTGATGCTGAAAGGTAGACTATCAAAGAACAGCATATCGGTTAATATTTAATAAAGCTGCCAGTTGGGAATGAGGCCAAAGTGAGCTGATCTTTGAGCACCATGTGAGCAAATGCAGCGTGACCGTTCTTGAAGGAGGCACTTAACACGCAGCCACACCCATGTCAGACACACAAACCCCCACTCTCGCACACTGATGTACAGTAAGCACACTCCCCCAAGAAGAGCAGAATTGAAGAGAAGGCAAAGGAAAGAGGCGAGAGATAAAACCAGATCACAGGCCTGGGAGAGGTTTCTGTTTGTGACTCCTTCCTGTGAGCAGAAAAGGCATAAATGTTACACAATGTGAGATACAAGTTATGGACATGGACGAAAATTATCTGTACAAACCTGAAAAAACCCCCCAATATATATGTTACCACACGGGGGCAGTGAAAACAAGCTCTAAACAACAGCAACAATTGCCTGCTTACACTAAATGATCTTTCATATTTTTATGAAGATTACATTTTGTGATGAGTGTCCAGTATTTACTCACTCTTCTGCAATGGTTTTTGTCTCCACTGACAAAAGAAACCTTAGGCTATTAACTAAATACAAAAGGTAAATGGACTGGTTCTTATATAGCACTTTTCTACCCTGCCTGAGCACTCAAATCGTTTCATTCACATACAAGCACTTTTTTCTATTCTTAAGTGCTTCCTATCTCCTATTCACACTTCAGCACCTTGGGGTTCAAAGAATCTTCATTTTCAAACCAACCAAAAAGTTGACACATTTTCTCTTAATATGTAAAACTACAGTGAGCCTCATAACACGAGTCGAACAGGTATTCCTCCAGGATCAAACCTGGACCTTAAGATTTCGCATTCATAGGCAATTGGTACGGTGGCCCTGAGAGGCCAAACAGACTGCAACTTAGGAAAACACAAAAGCGCACAAAACACAACGGAAATAGAAAAAAACAAAACAGTAATAGGAAAAAGCAGATTTCCGAAAGCACAAGGGAAGTGTTTCTGGGGAGACAATAACTCGACGGACCAGTTGCAGGAACAAAATATGCTAAGAATTGCGCTGGGAGACTCTTAAAAGAAGTGGAGGATCTATCGGTTTTGTGAGGAAAGAAAAGATGAGAGGTAAGTGTGTTAGCCTAACTATTAGCCTAAAAATTCGTCATCAGTATTATATGAATCATGATAAAACACACCTACCATGTTTTGGGTTCCTGCAACTGGTCCGTCAGGTTATTTTCTCCCCAGAAACAATTCCATTGTGCTTTTTGAAATCTGTTTTTTCCTATTTTCGTTGTTGTTTTTCTTATTTCTGTTGTGTTTTGTGTGCTTTTGCAGCATTTTTCTTATTGCTGGTGTCTTCTTAGGTTGCAGTCCGTTTGGCCTCTCACGGCCACCGTACATTTGTTAGGCATACCTGTTCAACTGCTTGTTATCGCAAATATCTAATCACACGACAGCAATTCACTGCATTGTGGCCAAAACGTCCTGCTGACATTCAAACTGAGCATCAGAATGGAGAAGAAAGGTGATTTAAGTCAGCGGTCCCCAACCCCCAGGCCTCGGACCGGTACCGGTCCGTGAGTCGTTTAGTTGAGGCTCAGGTGTGAAATGTATGGTTTTCATGGTTTTTATCGATTTTTAGCGTTATTTCGGTGTTTCTGGGTCTTTTTAAGTATGTTATGAATAAATCGTCTTTTTTTGGTACCGGTACTAGTTTTATTTTGTTGTATTTATCCGCGACACCTTAAAGGCCGGTCCGTGAAAATATTGTCGGGCATAAACCGTATGTTTGTTTGGGAACCGCTGAAATAAGTGACTTTGAACATGGCATGGCTGTTGTTTCAGACAGGTTAGTTAGAGCATTATAGGAACAGGATCTGCTGGGATTCTCCCCACACAACCGTCTCGGGGGTTTACAGAGAACGGTCTGAATATATTATAATTATAGTAACTTAAACAACCACTCGTTACAGCCAAGGTATGCAGAAGAGCATCTTTGAACGCACAGCACATTGAGCTTTGAGGTAGATGGGCTACAGCAGCAGAAGACCACATTTCCTGTTGACACCTCCTGTCAACAGGAAACTGAGGTTACAATTTGCACAGGCTTACATCCTCTGCTTCCAGCAGGATAATGAGCAACATCACAAAGCTCAAATCATCTCAAACTGGTTCCTTGAACATAATAACATGTTCACTGTAGTCAAATGGCCTCAACAGTTACCCGATCTCAATTCAGTGGAGAACATTTGGTTTGTGCTGGATCAGGAGATTTGTAGCATTGATGTGCAGCAAGCACATCAGCGACTGGGTGATGCTATCATGCCAATATATCCAGCTCCTTGTTGAATATTTGTTATAAAGAATTCAGACAGTTCTGAAAGCAAAATGGGGTTTAACTAACTTCTACCAAGGTATAACTAATAAATTGTCTGGTAAATGTATATTAATGAAATTTCTAAGTGTCGCACAGGCTTTCCACCCAAGTGGGGTTGAACATTTGCTCTGGCTATAGAGCCAGTGAAACTGTCAGTGTTCTTCCGTGCTTGCCCATTACAAATAAACTAATAGAAGAAAACAATAGTTTAAAAAATCCATCCATCCATCCATTCGCTTCCGCTTATCCTTTTCAGGGTCGCGGGGGGCGCTGGAGCCTATCCCAGCTGTCATAGGGCGAGAGGCGGGGTACACCCTGGACAGGTCGCCAGTCTGTCGCAGGGCCAACACACAGGGACAGACAACCATTCGCACTCACATTCACTCGCACATTCACACCTAATGGCAATTTGGATAGTTTAAAAAATGTTCCATAAAATTCATTAGTTATGGTCACAGGTTGATGTTTGCATCAACAAGGTGTGTTTTAAAATAAATGTTTGGTTAGCCTCTTTTTTGTTAATCTACAGTAAATGAACTGACTGCAACAATGAGCTAAGTCCACTCAAAAGCTGGTAACACAAAAGGAAGGCCCAGCGACACAGGAAGTGTAGCGCAAAGTGTCCGGCAAGCAGACCAGACTCACAGGGTTCAGGTGAGATCTTATTCCTTTTTGACAATCAAGGCATTCAGTGTATATTTTGGACAGTGCACATAGTTATTTCAGCCTCTGATGCCCTGGTCCCTTCTATTTCAAGATCACTGAGTCACCGTTGGTGTCATCATAATGAGATCATGCTATCACACCAACAACTTTGTCACTCCTAATGTTATTGTTATACCTGAATGATTTGCCCTTCAGATTCCTCAGCAGGTCCAGCTGATTCAGAGGTGGGGTAAGTCTGGGAAAAGACAAAAAAGAACTTCAAAGAAGTCGTTCTATCAAGACAGCCTCATCAGCTCAGTTGCAAAAGGTGAAAGCTCGCCTTTGGGCTTTTTAAGCTAATTGCCTTAAGTTATGTTCAGTTGGTCATAACCTTTTTTGCTTAAATTACAACTGGAATGTAAGTGAACTCATTTCAAAATAAACAACTGATGATTTTCTACTTCTAGATTAAAAGCAAAAGAAATCTGTGTTGTGAGACTCGAGCAAGGCAGCTTATTTGCTAATTCATACAGCTGGACACCAAAATGTCTGCTTAATTTTTCAAATTGGCCAAGGGCAGTATTTGTCTTTTGAACAGCATTTCAGAGTGCCACTGCCAAGACTCTCATCTGCTTCTCCGTTAAAAAGAAAAGCATTATTAAAGCAGAAAGTGTAAAGCCACACCGGTGTGTGATTCTTCTGATCCAAGAAAGATGTTTAGAATACAATAAGATGAGGTTATTCTGTGAGCTCAGTTTTCAACTCGGCTTTCAAGGTTCAGAAAGAAGGCAGAATGTGATATGGGTAAACAGTTGTATTTCCTGAAAATGCTGAATAATCTGTAGCATGATTCAACCACTTTATTTGATCGGTTACCTGTACATCGGAATAGCTACAGTCTGCTCATAAAAATCCCACGTGCACACCAGATCTGTACGGGAAAGGTTGGTGGCATAAAACCTCCAAGCAGCCTGGGTGAGGAAATTTTTAAAAGGCTTCTCAGTTTTTTTTGTTTGGAGAATTAAACAGTGTTTAAAATTAAATCTAGTGATCTTATCACACAGTATACCTGTATGAGGCCTGCAGCGGGGTTACGTCTCTTCTCAAAATGCTTCTGTCTGTGCTGCTCTTCGACTTTGAGGGCAAAGCCAGAACCCAAGATGCCCTGTACAAAAGCAGAAACCCATAAAATAATCAGTGACCTTTACTGACCTCAGTGGGCCAGGAGGAGGAATTGCAACAACAGCAAGTTGTCTCCTCCTCGTCCCCTAACAGTTCTCCGAAGCAATCCAACAAAACATCTGGGGTTATAGAAACCTGAGAGGAAATGCGGATATTAAATGCTGTGCCAAAAGTAGTGACAGGAATAGTGATTGCTGATCAAGTACAGTTTCCTGTATGATTGACTGAACGAATGGGAGCTGCTTACTCAGAGCTTACTGCTGAGTGTGATATCTTTAAATCTCAGGTGGAACAACAAACACTAACACGTACTTTAGCCACTGAAACTACATCATCAAACTCGGGCTTTCTAAAGAAAACGTGAATAATGAGCCAAGTTTTTTCAGCTCCTTTTAGAAGCATCAGTTGCACTAAGATTTCTTTGGACTATCAAAGACTGGACGCCTGTCCCAAGAAGAAAAATATTCGCAGTTATTTCCTCACACTGCTTCTATGGTGTTTTAGTGATCTGATGAATACAAATCTGATTTTCACTGTTGCTGTACCTGTAAAAAAACTGTCTCTCTAGCTCAACTACATTCACCACCTGGTTGCTGCTTTTTTATGTCAGTTATTGGGCAATGGACCTGCTTGAGTGATGAGATGAGCTACATGATTTCCATCCATCCATCCATTCGCTTCCGCTTATCCTTTTCAGGGTTGCGGGGGGCGCTGGAGCCTATCCCAGCTGTCATAGGGCGAGAGGCGGGGTACACCCTGGACAGGTCGCCAGTCTGTCGCAGGGCCAACACACAGGGACAGACAACCATTCGCACTCACATTCACTCGCACATTCACACCTAATGGCAATTTGGATTTTTCCAATTAACCTATGATTTGAATAAGAAAAAAGGTTAATGAGAGTCATTGAAGTGGGATAAAACAGGATGTTTTCTGGGCTTTAAAACGAAAACATTTAGCTGATAGACACTAAAATGCTAGGTGTTGGGTGCTAAATGTGCTATCCTGTTGTCATTTCAGGTTACTCACTTGATTAGATACATTTCGAATCCATAATGTTGAATCCATAGCATGAATGCACTACTGTAGTTATGATATCAAACTAAATGAAACCATAACCTATGGAAGAGCCTGCCAGAGAACACCGAGTATATTCTCATAGGGCAGAGCAGTGAGATCAGGCAGATATGCACTTACAGAGAACATCATAATGGAGAGAGAGTAAAGGCATATAAATGAGGATCATTTATAATGTGCACTTTGTGTGAACCTTATCAGTGGCTTCAACGCCGTAAAGACAAGCCTACATACTTACAGCAGGAAGGGCAAAGAAGGCAACGCCGATCAAGCTGAACGTGGCTGCTAGTAAGCGTCCATTCCAGGTTTTGGGAACTTTATCACCATAACCAATGGTGGTAAGAGTTATCTGGTACAAAAAAAAAACAAAAAAAACATTAAATAGCTTTTTTAATACCTTTTTTTTTTGTAAAACTGGAAATAAAGTAAACTGAACATTTCTAAGCTGAATATTTGTCAAAAATGAATGTTGTAAAACAGAAAGCAAATACTGCAGAACCATGTTGTCCTTGTTTTTTCGAGTTAGTCTTACCAGTCCCCACCAAAGAGCATCAGCATACGTGTCAAACTCATTATTTGACTCCTTTTCCACGGAGTAGACCAGGAATGAGGCCAGGATGAGGCACAGGAAGCCTATGTACCACGCTGTGATGAGCTCCTACAGAGAAAACCAATACAATGACCACTGGGAAATTAAAGTAATTAAGTGTCATCTTGAATGCCTTGCAAAAGTGGCAATGTAACCTCTGTCAATGGGTACAAATGGCTATTCTGTAACAATATTGGACATCATATGTGAATCTCTTGCCCTGTGCGGCGAACCAAGCATTTCATAAACATCTTTATTTCCCTCGTCTCCACAAAAGCTGCAGCCTGCCATCTCTCCTTCTCATGTAATCATACACAAACACCCACAAACCCTGTAATGATGTTTCTGCAGCTTATTAGTAAAAGCAAATAATTTGATTTTCCAAGCTCATTTAAATTAAACGGAGAGAAATGTGCTTCCTTGCCATGATAGACTTTCTTGGAGGAGACACCTTTGATAATAGAGTGTCACTGAAGTAACATAGAGTCCATCTCCTCCAGGATGGCACATCAATACACGCCATTGCCGGAAGATTAGCGGTGTCTCCCAGCAAAGTCTCAAGATCATCGAGGAGATTCAAGGACACATGACGTGAAAGGGTGTGGAGAAGCCGTGGAGAATTTTATGTTGCCTGTAACATACAGGCAACATAAAGTAGGTATGAAGATGAAATCACTGGACCAATTGTCATTTCTGGGTTCCTCCTCAGTGTGCCCTGTTTGGTGGTGGGTTACTTATGGTCTTTGGAGACCATATCCATGGACGTGCGCACAGGTTAGGCAACAGCACCCTGACTGCCATTAGGTATCAGGATTAAATACTTGGGTTCAGACAATGCCCAGCCTCATGTGGCGAGAGTATGCAGGCACTTCCTGGAGAAAGAAGGAATTGATACCACTGACTGGCCCTCAAGCTCGCCTGACCTAAATCCAACAGAACACCTCTGGGACATTATGTTTCAGTCCATTTGGCACCACCAGACTGTCCAAGAGGTCAGTGAGGCCCTGCTCCCTGTTCCTTTAATATATTTTTGAGCAGGGTATATTGAAATAGGGTAAAATGGCTGCATTTTTCTTGCATATGTGCAAAGACATATGAATAAGACAACAAAATGTTTCTAAAATAACATATTTGTAAGCCATGATAACTTTTCAAATTCCCATTTATTATATGTGCTGGACTTTTTCTCTTTGCTCTTTCTTAGCTCATTTATGTGGGTTACATGGTGGCTACAACTGTAGCTTGCCTTCACCAGTGTATGAATGTGAGAGTGAATGAATAGTGGCATTGTAAAGCGCTTTGGGTGCCTTGAAAAGCGCTATATAAATCCAATCCATTATTATTATTATTATTACAGTTACTCTATACTAAAAATATTACTTTCACCTGGTCTGCATGCTTTGTGGTTAAAAGATAAGTGATAACGGCGGCCACACAATCTTAACAATCAAAACATTGAGGAAACTACAGACAAAACTGGAGTACATCAAGATCACCTTGCTGTGTGCATAAACTACAGATCCGAGCAGCTTCCAGGTTCCTCCACGGCGGTCCATGCGCAGCATCCGTAGGATCTGCAGGAATCTCAGACTCCTGATAGCCGAGGTGGCAAACACATTGCCCTGAGATCCAGCTGACAGGACAGATACGGAGGCAATCAGCACCATGATGTCTGGGAAGAGAAGTACAACATATGAATAGAAAACCATGACCTTGGTCAAATCAGACTAAATTAACAACACTTTACTATGGACACTGAAGATCATTGTTCATTTAATCTGTACACTGTTCAAACAACCAATTTGCAGTTGGAGAAATATTTTTGTATCATTGTATCAAAAGTTTCAGCATTTAAGAACAGAAGCAATAGCAAAACAAGTAATGTGTCCGTGTTATGTTCTTCAAGGTGAGAGAAATGACAGCCAGTAAAACACAAGGCAAACGTGTTTTCGCACCTATGACACAGAAAGGCTTTCTGGCAAATTTTAGCCTCCCTCTCCATCCTCTGTATCGACAGCAGCAGCCAGCAGCCCATATCCTTACAATGTACTCCACTCCAAACACCACAATGGTCACAATTTCCTGTGGGAAAAAACAGAATGGGGGAGTTAACCTTGTGACATTAATTTCTATGCAGAATACTGTTAAAATATCAAATAAAGTGATACTTACCAAGATGTACAAGGCACTCTCTGAGCTTTGTGTGAACTCTTCAATGGTGGCAAAGACTGAGAGTATAAGACACGAAAACACCAAGAGGAAGCTGGAACGGATGAGACAAAGTAAAGTTATTGCTTCTACTCTCTTATTTAGGGTAAGTCACTGTTACACCTGATAGATCCATATGTAGATATTTTTTTGGGTCCAGTTCAGAGTAATCGGTATCACCATGCTAGTCAGTTAAAGCTAATTTTGTACATTTTGAACACATTTGTATGAAAGTGTACAAACCTCTGAACTGTGAATTATATCAGCTGACAAGCCATCCAACCAGTCTTAGTACCCCGCCCTTATTAGACAGAGTCTAATTGCTACATCTAATCTCAGCTGAACCACTTTATCTGCTTTCTGTCAGAGTCATTAGCGGGATTGCTTCTTTTTTTTAATGAGAATTTATGTTGATATAAATTGCAGAAAAACTGTTGATGCTTTTATCCTAAACTTGGGGAAAATACTTAAGGCTAGTCATTGCACAACAGATAAAATTCTGATTAGATATTATTAAAGGGGATTCATTTGGATAAAATAGTTAAATGATGGTCTTGCATATGAATTTTGCTGCACAAGAGATATTCAGATGAGAGCCTCGGCAGGTCCTGACCTCACTTATGTTGGAGAATAAGGTGATTCGGAACTATAATAGACCACCTAAATCTGTTTAATCAGGATAAATGACTACGATGTCAAGTTTATGTCAATTTCACTAGTAATTAAAAAAAACAAACAAACAGAAGAAAGAAGAAGAAAAAGAAATGATCTGCTAGAAGAAATCCAGAGCAGAGCAAATGGAAAGTGTCTCATGAAACCTGATACCCAGAACAGTGCAGGATTATAAAAGGTAGAGCCATAAGCAACATCAATCATACTTAGAGATACTGTAGAATGGCAGTAGGTATTTGCTGAGCCCATTATCATTCCAATATATAGATGCAAAAATAATTTCATTTACCAATGGATAGTATGACATGTTATTATTATAATTGTTATCGCGTGAGCTGATGATTGGGATAAAAAGGTTCAGAAAATGTTGCATTTACACAGAATACACAGAGACTGGGCCAGAGTTTGAAACTGTATATTACTAAGTAATATATTTAATATTATATCAGTTGGCTTGAAAAAGTAAAGACATCAGAGGGTGGCTGCTGGATAATGTGTTTCTAATCTATTTACTTCAGTTGTCTTACTCTCTGCTGAAAGCTCCACTGCATTCACCAGCTGCTTCTAGTTTCTTACTCCGTGTGCTGTTTGGTATTGGTCAGAAATCATTCAACTGCCCCGCACAGCTGGAAAAGAAGACCACAGGAAGAGCATGCTCTAAAAGGCCAAAAGTGGAATAGAGTGGATTTGAGCTGTAAAGTGACAATTCTTGTCAGGTTTATCTCTGCAAGTGTCACCTTTCCGTTACACACTTCGTCCCGTCACTTCATCCATTATTAATACAAACAAATGTGTTTGTGCAGCTTTAAAAATGAAGAAGGGCAAAAGTCCAGAAACACAGAACGGACTGTGTGTATCTCTGCGTAGCACTTAACACTAACAAGGCCCGGAATCAATTTGGTACGCTTGTATCCACATAAGTAAACTGAGGTTTGCACATATCCGTAAAAATGTTCTCAAATAATTCTAAAATTTAAAATAGGTCAGCGTGAGTAACAATGCAGGTAAGGTGGATATCGTCCTCCATTCAGAAGCAAGAAAGTTTAACGCTGACATCACCAGTAAAACATGTTGTATCCGTCTGTCAAGTACATCAGTGCTATCAGATCTACTGTATTTTCTATCAAGTGTGAGCATAAAGTCTTTCCTTCTGTGCTTCATTCAGTTCTCACCACTCCTCATCAAGGCTCACCCTTGATTTTTTTTTCCTAAATGCAATTTATCTGAATTTCCTGCTGCAGTTCACGTCCATTCCTGGCAGTGATATTTGCCCGTCAGCCAATCAGAATGAAGCAGCAAAGATCAATCATGTGGCTACAGTGAAGCCCATAAATAAGCTTTTTTCTGATTGGTTCTTTATCTGTTCCTCAAAGGCCTAAAATATTTAACAACAAGCACTTTCACCTCTAAACCCACAATTCTGTACATTTTTACTTTGGTAAGTCAGACTGAGGTCATTGTTGTCATATCATATATCAATGATGACTTCAGCAGTCAAGTCTTACTTAGTAATAGTGAACGGGCTGTGAAAGCTTTTGCTACACACTACATTATATCTGTAGTCTGCCAGTAAAGTTCATCCTGTTAGATCACATTACTCACATTAGTTTTCTTGTGTTTTAAGCAGTGGTGTTGATAGTATCTGAAAACAAGCCTAGAAATTGTTGGATTTTTCTCTTGATAATTCCACCTTTTTAAAGCTGTTTCACAGAAGAATTAATATCAAATGTTCTGAGAATGAGTAATATATCGGTTTGAATATGTTTGTGTTAGTTCATTTTTCCTTTTGGTTTTTGGGAATGATTTATGTTAAAGTTTTGTTCCTTATTTCTGTGGTAAATGGTTTGTCTACTCCTTTCTTATTTATCATATTACCTTTCCAGTGCCCTGGTTGCAATTTTCCTGTGTTCCCCTGTGTTAGTCCTTGTTTCATCATTCAGTTGTGTTTCCTGTTTTATTTTAGTAACAGATATTCTTCTGTTGATTCAGTTTCTCCTGTCTCAGTATTCCAGTTCCAGTTGTGCATCCCTCCTGTTATATCTCCCCTTGTTATCCTGTGAGGGTATATATTGTCAGTCTAACTTTGCTGTTTGTTGTGTTGTCCCTGATGATTGTGTGCACCCTCTGTACCTAACTGCTCATCAATCTGCTGCACTCTTAATCTTCTGCTCTCGCTCAGGTCTTGACGGAAAATTTGAATCAGCATTGCCGACCAAATATCTAAATCTGATGTGATGATTAGGTATTTAACGCACAATTTATCAAATTACTTAGTCAAATTAATTATTTGAACACAACAACCAGTATCAGATTTCAGAAAAGCAAATTATTAATGTATTATTGTCATAAGAACTAAATAGTCATCAAATCTGACTATTGGATTTCAGCTACAGGCCAACAGGATATTTCAATCTAAATATCATCTTCTTTATGGCATATGTGGAATACACAGATTACCATCCATTTTCTCCCCCTTATCAAATTCAGGGTGGTGCGAAAGATGGAGTCTTGATAGGTCACCAGCCTGTCACAGGGCTAATACAAAAAATAAACATATCTTACAAAAATGTATCGGTTTCTTCTAAAATATCACTAGTGAATAGACACGTGTCCCTAAGATTGACTTTGCAATTCATGAACACTCGATATTGAACCGTTCGATACAGTGCTTTCGGTTCGGTATGCATATGTATCGAACAATACAAAATTTTTAATTTATTCTATCAACTTTCCTTCTGATGGTACTGTCTGTGTTGAGCGCTCAGTGGATCTGCGTTCGACTACTCCGCCTAGGCTGCACTATCAAGCACAGATCCACTGAGCGCAGGGCAAGCTAGCAAGACAGAAGCTAAGCTCTCCTTGCAACGTGGCAAATTGAACCTCCCCCACCCTCATTCAGATCTGGCGTTTGGAACTATTTTGGTTTTCATGT